GATTAAAATATAACAAAAGAGTCACATCTTTTTGCTATTTAAAAAGGTCGTGAAGTGACAAATGTCAAAACCGACAGTGAAGTTTATATTTTTTTTTTTACGAAACAAATTTTCCTCGGGATTAGGCCCATTCAGCCAAGTTGTATGAAAAATTACATGTGACGTAAATTTTACGTTACATTTCACCCTTCCCCGATTAAAGCATCGAGAATCGAGGCGCCAAAAACTACAACTCAAAATTTCCAAACAAAACCAACCAATGGCAAACTCAAAAGATAACCTAAAAGGAACTGCATAAATGCAAAGGAAAACAAAACTTCAGTTTAGTTTTGTTATCGGCAGTCAACAATGGCGGTGTGGTGAGCCAACATAAATATGGCGGACCACACGTCCACTGATCACAAACCAAAAACTAATCGAGGCAAAACTCGATGTTCGCTGTGGCCATCAAACAATATCGACAGCAAATGCCATTAAAATAAAAAAAAACGCTGTTTAAGAAACAAGTTAAACAATAAATAAGAAACACTGTGTGTGTTTATGTGTTTGTGTGTGTGTATGTGTGTGTGTATGAGTGTGTGTATACGTGTGTGGGTGTGGAGATCTGTTCGACTTAAAATGTCACAGACTCAAAAACTAACCCCTGAAATTACCCGTTTGAGATCTGCTGGACTATAAAGTCGCAGACTCTAAAAAAATCTAAGTCCCCTTAACAAACTGTTTGAGATCTGCTGGACTATAAAGTCGCAGACTCTAAAAAAATCTAAGTCCCCTTAACAAACTGTTTGAGATCTGCTGGACTATAAAGTCGCAGACTCTAAAGAATCTAACCCCTAAAACTTTCAATCATAAGCATGTCTTATGACAAAAGCAACAATCATGGTCGGCTCAACACCACCGGCTTTCCGAACATGATGTGCAAAACGCGTCGCGAACCAAAGGTTCGTTGACAACAAAAATGTCGTAACCAGGCCCAACAAAGTAAGCGTAGGCTCAAAAGGAATAATGACAAAGGTCATTAGGAAAAAAAACAACGTGACTAAAGCCACAAAGGGTGGCACTCATGGCCGACTCAACTCCATCAGCATTCCGGACATGAGGCGCACAAAAATAAATGTAACTTCATGATCGGCACAACTCCACCGAACTTCCGAGCATGAAGCACACAAAAAAAATGTTGATCACAAATGTGAACAAACATAGACCAAAGATCAAAATCAAAATTTTGTCTCCTATGGAGGACAATAAGGTCAACAAAAGGATGTCAAATCCAAGGTTTTATGAGTACTCAAAGAAAGTCAAATCCGAGTGTAACACAAATTCGAACAAAATAATAACGTAACGAAAGACAAACTACATACTATTACTGTGTATGTAAATAATGTACAAACTTATACAAAATTAAAAATAAATCTGAACAGAAAAATAATAGGACTAAAAATCCCAACAGAAAATTCTGTCCTATACAAGAATGATAAAATCTTATGATGTGTGTAAAAAGAAGGAATACTAAGTTTATTCTAAATTAATTTAACAAATTTACTAAGATCCAATACTATATGACAAAACTAATAATTTGGAAAGTATTAATATTACTTATATGAGAGCAGAATTTATGATTGAATGATATCCTTTCTTTCATCGTCTAACATTCGGTGATACCTTTCATTCTTCACGCAAATAAAATCCTTACAACACCGATTTTCACTCAAATCACAAGAACCGACTCAAAAGTTTATTCATTTAAACAATAAAATTACAAATGATCAAAATTTAAGTTTTCAAAATATCCTTGACATGATAACGTCCGGTAGTGCCTTTAGTTAAATCTTTCAAAATATAAACGTTATTAGAAATTTTATCAACTACTTTACATTTAATAAACTTTGGAGCTAGTTTTGCCGAAAAATAATGAGCAGCACTAGATTGAACAAAATTTCTTCTCCAAACAATATCACCCACATCATAAGAAGTGACCCCACGACCTTTGTTGTAATATTTAGCATTACGTTTGTATGCTTTAAACAAAGAATTCGTAACCTTAACAAAAATATCTTCAAGCGAAGCAAGAAAAGTTGCAAATTTAGAACGATCAACCAGATCGATCTGAGTTAAATTATCAAAAGAATTACTAAAACGGTGTAAAGATGCATCAAATATTAATTCCCTACCAAACATTAGAAAGTTTGGAGTAAATTCTGTAGCTAAATTAACACTACTATTCATAGCTAATTGAACATGAGGGAGAAATTTAGACCAAGTTCTATGATCATCACGAACAAAACATGATATACAAGTTTCAATTGTTTTATTATAACGTTCAACAGGATTGTTTTGTGCAGTATACAAAGTATTATAAAATATCTTATTAATATTAAAACTTTTAAGAAAATCCACAAAATTCTTTGAAGTGAACTGGGTACCGTTATCACATATAACTATCTTTGGACATCCAAACTTTAGGAAAATGTCTTTTTCAAGGAACTTACAAATTGAACCAGTTGTTGCATTAGCCAAGGGGAATAACCAACAATATTTTGTAAAAACGTCTACTACGGACAAAATAAATTTATGACCAGAATAAGTCTTAGGCAAAATACCAATTAAATCCATACTAATCATTATCATGGGTCTATCTACTTTTTTAGGATTAATCATAGTTCCAAGCGGTTTAGAAGTTGAATGTTTGTAAGCTTTACAAGTTTCACAAGAATTTATAAATTTATGTATATCATTAAACATACCTTTCCAAAAATAATGTAGTTTTATTTTATGTAAAGTTTTATGGCTTCCTAAATGACCAGAATTTAAATCGTCATGGTTACTTCTAATAGTGTCCAAAATATCTTCCTTCGGAATAACAATTTTCCAATCTAAATTACTATTTAAGTTATATTTCGACTTACAGAATCTATACAAAGTATCGTTTTCAACTCTAAAATTTTTATATCTGGCTGGATATTTTTGACAATCTATAAAAATCTTTCTATACCAAGAATCTACAATATCATCATGAGGAGAAACAATTTGATTTAAGTTTGCAGTTATTGCAGCTATATCATAACGTGAAAGAGTATCTGGAACTACATGTTGAGAACCTTTCTTATGAATTATATCAAAGGTAAATTGTGAAATTCTTGCAGCCCATCTAGCCAAACGACCAGAAGGATTATTCAAGTTTAAAAGCCATTTTAAACTCGCATGATCAGTGACCACAGTAAATTTCATACCTTCAACATAAGGTCTAAAATGTTCTATAGAATCCAAAATGGCTAAAAGTTCTCTTTCTGTCACACTATAATTACGTTCACATTTGTTGAGAGATCTAGAATAAAATGCAATTGGATGTTGTTCATTATTATCATCTTCTTGACTCAAAACACTACCAATACCAACAGAACTAGCATCACAATGTAAAAAGAAAGGTTTATTAAAATCTGGACATTGCAGTACAGGAGCAGTTACTAATGATTGTTTAAGATCTTGAAACGATCTTTCAGCATCGTCATTCCATTCAAGACCTGTTTTAAGTTTTTTACTACCACCAGTTAATTTAGTTAATGGGGAAGCTATGTCAGCAAATTTAGAAATGAATCTACGATAATATGAACAAAGACCAAGAAAACTACGAAGTTGTTTTACAGTTTTAGGACGAGGAAAATTTTCTATAGAATCTAATTTAGAAGGGTCAGTGTGTAAACCTTTACCATCAACTACATAACCTAAATATCTCAATCGTTCTTTACAAAATTCACACTTTTTTAAGTTAACCGTTAAACCAGCATCTTTAAGAACTTTATACACCCTCTTAAGGAGGTCTATGTGATTTGGAAAATTATCAGAAACAACGATCAAATCGTCTAAATAACAAAAGGTATTCTTATCAAATTCAGGACCAAACAATCTATCAACAAGTCTTTGGAGTTCAGCAGGTGCATTGGAAAGTCCAAAGGGCATTCTGATGAATTCAAAGAGACCTTTACCAGGAATACAAAATGCAGTTTTCTCGCGGGAAGCAGGATGTAATTTAATTTGTAAAAAGGCTTTAGACAAATCAATTGCACTAATAAATTTAGCACCTCTAAGGTTATCTAGAATATAAGAAGTATAAGGTAGTGGATAAGAATCTTTAACAGTTACAGAATTTAATTTTCTTGAATCTAAACAAAGTCTAATACCCCCGTCCTTTTTAGGAACGGTCAAAACAGGAGAACTCCAGGGAGATTTGGAAGGTTGTATAATTCCCTCTCTTAACATAACCTCAACCTCATCATACACTTCTTTCTGCTTAGCTGGGCTTAAAGGATAATAGCGTTGTTTAATCGGTTCACCAGTAGTAGTTATTTTATGTTCAGTTAAATGAGTTAAGCCCAAACCATTCTTTTCGTAAGAAATATCTTTAAACAATTTAATTACTTTATCGAGTTGTTTTGTCTCAGAAGGAGAAAGATGAGCAGCAGATGTAACAGAACAAACGTTTACATCTCTGTCGTTAACAAAAGTTATGTGTTTAAATAAATCTTTAGCCAAGTCAAATTTTAACCAAAAATCAAAACCTAATATTATATTTGGTTCAAAGGAGGGTATAACCATAAAGGAAACTATTTGTGTAACATCATCACAAGTCACAGGTAAATCTAAAATTCCAATTATATTTTGAGAAGATCCATCCACTGTATGAGCTTTTTTATGTATGGGTTGAAGTTTATATCCTAATTCTAAAAATTGTGTGTGACTATTCGCACCTAAAACGCAACAATTAGCACCACTGTCTAAAATTCCAGTAAATTTACTATTTCCAACATTAAATTTAAGATAAGGTCTATTATCAGTGTTTTTAACAAAAAGAATTGGAGCTACTTTATAATTTTTAAAAAATACCTTCAAGTAATTTATCCAATCATCAAATTCTTTTCTATGTCCACTATTAACATTAACACTTCTATTTTCCATCGAGTCTCGACGCACTTCGCTACAAAGCGGAGCTCGATGAGGCCTAATTAGTTTTTTGGAACCGGTTCAGAAATTTCGACTTTTTTGTTACAATTTTGTGATTTATTACAGTCGCAGGTGAGGGTAGTCACTCCGTGTCTGTGACAATTAAAACAAATAATGCCAGGAATGCTTGAACAATTTCTATAGTTATGACCTTGACGTTTACATTTTAAACAAGTTAAATTTTTATCACTTTTAACGTTAACTAAATGAATTTTACTACCCCTAGAACAAGATGAGCGTGACTCCGATTTAATAGAATTACCATCTGAAGCGAGTTCTTCAATTTCTCTTCCCAATCGAACAATTTGGTCAATAGAAGTTATGTTTCGGCCAACAAAATACATGGCATATGAGCGCAACATATTATGCTTAATAATGTTAATTAAATTTTGTTCCGAAAGTGGATCAGAAAGACGAAAAGACATATCCTGCAGTTCTATTATAAAATCAGACAAAGTTTCTGTGGATTTTTGTTTACGTGTGCGTAAAAGAAATTCAAGTTGGTAATCAAAATCAAGTTTATCAAAACGTTTAAGTAAATCGACTTTAAGAGAATACCAAGAACTATAATTCACTCGAACAGTGCGGAACCACTTTTTTGCAACACCAGTAAGAAAATCTGAAAACGATGTGACAATAAAGTATTCATCAATATCTCTGGAAACCATGTACTCATCAACACTAGTTATAAATTCACGAACACAAGACTTACCATCAAACAAAATTTTACTTTTGGAGACATCAGGACGTTTATAATATGTTGACTTTTTCAAATGGTCAACACCCAAATTATGACCTAAATTTGTACTATTGTGTGAAGCATTTGTGGTCGCTGGTTGCAAAGCTGGTTGCGAATCAAGCAATCTTGAATTGTGTAGTGTAATATTATCAGTCAAATTTATCAATTCAGGTGCAAGTGGGTGTGTAAAAGCAGGCGGTGAAGCTAAATCACTTGTATCTGTTGCAACAGTAATTGACTGTTCCTTAGGCTGTGAAGCAGTAGCCAGTGCAAGTTTTTCCGTTTCCATTTTTGTGGAATGCAAAAATAGCAGTGAAATTATTATTCAATTCACTCAAATAAGACACAAAAAGGTCAGCAAGATGCAGCAAGTTTAACAAATTTAATAACCTATGTCAAAATTATTTGTCAAAATTCAACTAAGTTCCAATTGTTTTATGTAAATTATTACTGCAATAATATGACTCAAATAACAAAAAAGTTTCAAGTTAATGCTAAATGTTTTAAGTTAATCTTAAATTAAGTATACACTTGTTCAATAACAAAAAATTCAAAGTTAATTTTAAAACTTCAAGTTCTAAGTAAATGCAAATAATGATAATTGTTACAAGTTCAATAAATACAAAATACCACAATGATGATAAAGGTTTTCAAATTATTATTGAATTAAGTTTTAAATTACTTTAAGTGTAATATATTTTTAAGTTGTAACATTAGTTTTAATAATTTAATTTCAAATATTAAGTTTATGACAATTTTAATTAATACCTATTATTGTTCTATGTTTAATTTCAATAAAAATAATTTCTTTAACCACTCAAAATAACCTGCAGAACATTGTCTTTTATAAAAGAAACCTGTTATAAAAGTTTAAGCTTAATGTAACAAACTATTTTATATAGTAGGTATAAAATGTTCGAACATAAAGTTCTTTTATAGCATAAAAAAGAGAATAACCTTTGTGAATTTACATTTAGAAATGTAAATAACAAAGTATGAACCAAATGATCACATCAAATAGCTATGTTTTTATCAGTTTAAACAAAAGGACAATACAGAGTTTGTCTGTTTGTTTATACTTTCACTAGTAAATTCTTTTAGTAGGTGATTGAACAAAAAATATTTTTCACATTATCACTTGTGAAATAAATGGTGTAAACACAGCAAGTATTCACATAAATAAGCAAATGCTTAGCCGCAAGCAACAAATCCAAAGATAAATGGTAGGGAAAATAAAGTAGTACACACAAATTAGTTATTATGACATTAAAATAAAGTAGGCATATTATGTTTAATTAAATTTGAACCACACTCGAATAAAATTTTAATAGAATGGCAAACCAAAAAGCTTGTAAAGTGAGCTCGCTACTTCAAAACCAAGTCCCTGTGAGCTGGCGTCAATTGTAATATATTAAAAAATAAAATTTTATTTATTTTATTACTGTGTGATGGTTGCTATTTGAAAATAATTAGAATTTGTGTGAAGGTTGTGATATTAAAAATAATGTAAGTTTGCAAAGAAATTTGCCAAGAGGTAGGTCACTAACAAATTAAATAATTATAAGAAACTAGTATAAATTTTTCAGGCGCCAGACCTACCTGGAAAACAAAGCCGGAGAGTTTGGAGTTTTAATCGCAAGGGGGGCTTGTAAATAACAAACAACAACTTTTACTTTTGGTTTGCCATATATTGGAATGAAACTTTTGTATATTTTGAAATTAAAGATAAGTTTATAATCTCTAAAGTCTTAAGAGGTGATTGGAATTTTCGAACTATTAATAAAAATGTTTTACATCACCAAATGAGCTGCTCCTTAATGCATCGTGCTTACATAGCTGCTTCTTAATTATATAGTGTTAAGCTGGCGTGCCCAAGATTGTGATGTATCAAGTGAGTGTGGCGTGGCTCATGCGGTAAAGGTTATGATCAGTACATCAAAATTGAAGTACAAGAAAACTTGTATATAAAAAAAAAACGCCAACGGCTGAAAAGAAAATCACACCGTTTAAAATTTAGAAAACAAAACAAACGAAAATATATCGGTCGATCCTTTCGAAAACTTACCGTTTTAAAACAAAAAACTAAAGCAACATGGGGCAAGGTGGACCCCTAAGTAGGTTTATGTTTCCACCTGCGAAGATAAAAAATTTGAAAATAGGAAAATACTATAAGAAAAATTATAATTCCATGAAGAATAATGCTTACCATTATTAAATATAAGGTATTTTTACTTAAATACCGTTGATGCAACAAGATTAAAATATAACAAAAGAGTCACATCTTTTTGCTATTTAAAAAGGTCGTGAAGTGACAAAATGTCAAAACCGACAGTGAAGTTTATATTTTTTTTTTTTACGAAACAAATTTTCCTCGGGATTAGGCCCATTCAGCCAAGTTGTATGAAAAATTACATGTGACGTAAATTTTACGTTACAACACGCCTGCAGTGTTATTTTAAAGATAGTCCTCCGATATGGACGATCTATTTGGGCTTCGTGATAGCCCGTTCTGACTACCCGCCGACATCAGAAGTGAGATGCAACCGACCAAGTGGACACACAGATGTCATGGATATGAAGAATCTTGTTGCGATAACAAAATCAAAACTTTTTCGCCCTCATCCACGTTAGTCACATGTACGGTCGTCGAGTCACATGTGCATCTGCCCGAACTCGATCCTGGCAATATTTCTGCCTGTCGATACAAGTAGAAATACTTAAGCCTTCGTAGGGAGAACCAAGCGTTCCTAATATGAAGAACAGTTGCGGAACAGATGGTCACTACTCTCAAGATACCTGTAGCCGAAGAAGATGCAACGGTGGCAAACCTGATGGCTCGTCTGCTGGCATTGTTAGTGAGCGACGTGTAGACGTCTGCATCATTGCTACCCTTGCTAGTATTTTGCAGTATTTTGGTGGGTCGTTTTTATTTTGTTATGATACTGGAGTCGAGTGCTCCCTTATAAAGTTATTAATATCGTGAAGAATTTATGGCAGTCGAAATAGTAACACTCTTAAAATCACTAGTTAAGTGAAAATAAAATTGAAAAAGTGTGATTGCATTTGCTGGTTACTGGTGCAATCGAGGTTCTCAAACCAGTTTATTATTTATGCATACTTTCATTGTAAATAAGATTTGATGATAGAATTTATCAACTCTTAAATTCTAATTAATAATGAATCTCAAAGTAAAATCGGTCTCTAATTATTAAAGTTTCAATTTGATTCAAAATCTTACTTTAGTTGAAGTCAGGACTAACCGAGATAAGAATCTACCGCGCTGCACATCAATTAGATGCCTAGTAAATGGTTAGTGGTATTATTAGGTACTCTATATTTCTCGCTGTTTGATAGAGAGATAACATTTTCATGAAAGTTCAATTCGACTATCAAAAATTTCTTATGAAAAGACTGTATAAATTCCATCCTATGAACTTCCCAACTTTGAAGTCGTTTCACAGAGCCTCTGAGGACCACGGTCATAACTTAAACCCAGACCCCAGCTTCGTTCTTCCCGTTTCCTATAGAGCCTCTGGGGACCACGGTCATATGTAAGAACCAGACCCCAGCATCGACCTTTCCACATCTCCTTTAGAGTCACTGTGGATCACGGCGTACAGGACCGCTCATGACCACAGCTTCAAAACCCTATACATCTATACCGACGTGAAAATAGTTTTGTTTAGAGCCCCTGGGGACCACGGTCGATATAAGGCCCAGACCCCAGCATCGCCCTTTCCTCATATCCCTTAGAGCCTCTGTGGACCACGGCGTGCAGGACCGCTCATGACCACAGCATCATCCTTACTACGAGTACAATAATCAATGCAAGTATGCGTGGAGCATTTGTATAGACCAAATATACTTGATAAAACAGCTCATTTTCCTATACAATTTCTATTCGTTAATAAGTGCTAACTTTACTACCGTTTTTATAACAATTGCGATAAAATAACCGTTGGTAATAAATTTGATGTTTAAGAAATGATGGTCGAAATCTAGTTCAGATACCTAGCTCAGAAAAGCTCTTCTAGTTTGTTACAGAAACTCGACTGGCGCAGAGCACGCACCGTTTCCCAGAATGGCCGTGTCGCATCATCTTTACGACGATCGTTTGATTTAGTTTCTTTTATTTTAATTGCTAGTTACTCGATTACTTAATTACTCGATTGTAGAGAGAGCGTGATCATCGATACTTTTAATTTCGTTAACAAAAAGCAAATTGCCGCCATTTTTTCGCACATATTCTGTTTCCGATCGCCGAGGAGTAAAGACATCCGAAGACATCACGCTCATCTCGTTATATTTTCGTATGAAAAGTGATAAAATGGAACAAATCCATGTTGGTATACACGCCTGCAGTGTTATTTTAAAGATAGTCCTCTGATATGGACGATCTATTTGGGCTTCGTAATAGCCCGTTCTAACTACCCGCCGACATATATCATATTCAATTATTCTAAATAATAATATTATAAAAAAAAATCTTAATACAATAAATTCTATTTATTCTTTTAATTCTTCCTAAAATAAATTTGATAATTTTAACAATTAAATTACCAAAAAATATTATCATTAGTTTTTATAGTTTAAAAAAAACATTGGTCTTGTAAATCAAAATTAAGAAACTTTCTTTAAAAGCTTCAAAGAAATATTTTTTTTATATCTATAACCTCCAAAATTATTATTTTACTTAAAATATTTTTTGATATAATAAAAATATTTTCATCTTTAACTATGATTTTTCTTTCTTTTATAATATTTTTTCTTAAACACCCTCTTTCCATAGGATTAATAATCTTAATTCAAACCCTTTAACATGTTTATTATCAAGAATAATAATTAAAACATATTGATTTTCTTATATTTTATTTTTAACATTTTTAGGGGGGTTATTGGTACTCTTCATTTACGTTTCAAGTATTGCCTCCAATGAAATTTTTTCTTATCATTTTCTATAAAATTATTTATTATTAACCTTTTCACTACAATTATATTAATTAGACTTATTTACATATATGATATTAACTGAATAAACTTAA